CGCTCCTTCGGCTCCGCCCAGCCCGACCGTCTCTAAGGACTCCAGCGAATGGGCGTGTCTCATGCTGTCAATCACGCGGCGGAGCCCACGCTCCTCGGCTTCCCTCTCCATCACATCCACACACGTCCAACGGCCACGTTTATACGGCTCGCCCGGTCCTTGATCCAAACGCACGACGCGGAAACGCGGCGCCCCGGCGGCATCCAGCGAGCTTTGCTTCCTAGCCGTGACGGGCGTGGTCGGCTGACTGCAGCTCTGTTGCGTCTGGAGGGCGGGGTTTTGGCGCAGGGACAGCCCATTGGATAGGATTTGAGTGGGCGATGCGGTCTGGCTTCTGGGGCTCCTCCCATGGGCGGGGTTTCTGGCAGAAGGGGGCGTGGCTCTTTGAGTTCCAGGGCTGAGGAGCTCCTCCAGATGGTTTTCTCCAGAACCCTGATTGTAGTCCGACGTGACGCTGGTGATTTGAAAACCGCTTCGTTTCTTTCCGCCACTCATTCTGGACCGAGTGTGTGCGAGCGGGTTGACTTTATCCCTGGGCGCTCCAAACTCGATCTTTGTTCATTATATTGCAGTAGAAACCAAACAGCAAAAAGCTTTAAGAAACGAATGCCCTAACCATTTGAAAGCGAGACTCAGTCTCTCGGGTCAATCTGGATCAGATCAATCATATTCTCTGTCCTCAGCAGGTAAAATCAAAGCCTAAAACTTAAACAAATTTATTCCATTGCACTTGGCTCGGTCCTCTTTCTTTCGAGTGTAACTGCAGCCAGTACAGTAACAAGAGCAGTTTCTCTGCCCAGCGGTTGCGCAAGGCTCGGCTCTGAAGGCTATTTCCTCTGGCAGTCGTACAGTATGTGCGTTCACAGCTCAGGACACAATACAGAGGCTCCTGATCGCCATGCACGCGCAGATCTGATTCTCTCAAGATCAAACCGCCAATCCGAGAGATGTTAAGAAATAAGCACCATAATTAGGGCATTTACATGGTTTCTCGCTGCAGCTCAAGGCCTGAACGTGTCAGGACATCATTTTAGGGCTGCAGGACAAGTTTGGTAACTACAAAAACAAGAAGTTCTGTTTCCGTCGACGTCCCTGTAGCAAAATCCCAAATGCTGACGGGAATCTCAGCAACTTTAAGAGAAGAATCTGCAAAGAGTCAAACTCAATCTCAATGCCCGGAGTTACAGTCCTGACCGCTCGTTTGGTTCAAATTAAAAGTGAATCATGCATTTAACTTCAATTAGAACTAGAGCAAGAAAGCTCAAACAACTTTAAGAGGAAACCCGTAATAGAATTAAACTCTAAATGTTACAGATTTGAAAAAATTATCATGCTTTTAAGCCTCAAATTAAAACTGAAGCGGGAGAAAAAGTAAAGCAATTCGGTGCAAAAGCTAAAAACACTTACAGATTGAAATTTGCATTGCTCATTTGATTCTAATTAAAACCAGATCATGCATTTAACTTCAAATTAAGACTAGAGCAAGTGGAAAGGTTCAGCAATTTTGTGCGAGAGCTAAAAAAGACGTCTATCAGATGCTTGCCAGTAATTACAACTGCAGAACCTTCATTATTCTGCACACCAAAACTCACAATATGCTTATACTCTAAAGTAAAACTTGCATGTAACCAAACCCATACATATTCCCAGAGAGCACAGGTACGTCTGCAAGACGTCTGTTAAAGATCTCTTCATCTGGAGAGCATCAAACATCTGATAGACGTCTCTAAGATGTCAGTTTTACATCATAAACATCTTATGGACATCTTCTAAACGTCTATTTGACATCTGATAGGAAACGTCCTATAGACGTTGTATCGCAGATGAACAAACGCTCTAAAAAAATACGTCTTGCAGATGTCAAATAGACGTGTCTGAGATGCACGTGTGATATCAGGGTTAGAATTCAAATCAGATTTGATTCCACAGATTCAGAGCAGAATCCCACACGCAAATACCCGTATGTTGCACAATAACACCCCTGCAGCCCGAAACCTGACATTTAACGTTACTTACAGCACATTCACCCGCAGCAGGTCAGCAGATGACAGGACTCAGAGCAGTTCAATCTCGAAGAACCAACACAATCAGGGAAACCTGTGCAGAACAGATTTCTGGATCTGGATTGAACCTGAGCCCGCCCCCCCACACCCCAAAAAATGCGATTTAAACCTAAAGTTCAGTCTGTAATCCCAAGATTTTGTGAACTTTCACACACTAAAGACTCGGTTCACATGTTGCGTCCACACCTCGAACCCCTGGAGGAGAGAGAATATTCCGTTAGACTGAAAACAAGACATTAAAACCCCGTTAGATTCCCGGAGACTGACTGAGATTGATGATCCACACCCGAGAAGTTTGTTTATTCTCCGTCATAATGTACAAATCACACAGACTCCACCGGCTTCGCTTCTCTCGCGGCGTTTCTGGCTGGATTTTCTTTAAAGCGACACTAATGAACTCAGATTTACGGATTAATTCTCCTCCTGAGAAACTGTTGACAACTTTCCATCACCCGGAAGTTCCGCCTCCGCTCCTGCGACTGAACGCTACTATGGCGAAGGGCGGGGCTCATGAATATTAATCAGGCTGCGCGGCCGGACGCAGCCAATAAATGACGGCTCGACGTAATTAATATTCATGAGACCATCATTCGCTTTAGTACGATTCGTAATTTTGACTAATTTTACTTGTAAATTAAGAGATTAGCCGAAGCACAGACATTAGATTTAACTAAATTAAACTGCAGCTAACTCATATTTACATTTAGTCATTTAGCAGATGCTTTTATCCAAAGCGACTTACAAACAAGGACAATGGAAGCAATCAAAATCAACAAAAGAGCAATGATACGCAAGTGCTATAACAAGTCTCGGTTAGTTTAACGCAGTACACATAGCACGTTTTTTGTTTTAATCGTATAATAAATAAAAAGAAAACAGATATAATAGAAAAAGAATAGCGCAAGCTAGCGTTAGAGGCCTTTTTTTTTGCTTTTGTTAATGAGAAGTCAGAAATATAATTGTATAATAAATAAAAAGAAAACATATAGAATGCAAAAAGATTAGAGAAGCAAGTGTTAGTTTAAAAAAACAAAAAAACAAACAAGCAGTTAGTAAATAAATAGAGTGCGAGTCTAAAAGAGGCACGTTTTTTTATTTTTATAAAGAATAGAATTAGAATAGAGAGTGCTAGAGTTAGAGGGACAAATAAAGGTGGAACAGATGTGTTTTTAGTCGTTTCTTGAAGATGGTTAAGGACTCAGCTGCTGGGATTGAGTTGGGCAGGTCACTCCACCAGGAGGGAACAGTTAATGTAAAAGTCCGTGAAAGTGATTTTGTGCCTCTTTGAGATGAACAATAATGCGCCGTTCACTTGCAGAACACAATAACTCTGAAGTAATGACTTTAGGTAAATGGGTGCAGAGCCAGTGGTGGTTTTGTAGGCAAACATTAATGCCTTGAATTTAATGCGAGCAGCTACTGGTAGCCAGTGCAAATTGATGAACAGAGGTGTGACGTGTTCTTTTCGGTTCATTAAAGATTAATCTTGCAGCGGCATTTTGGATTAATTGTAGAGGTTTGATAGAAGTGGCTGGAAGACCTGCCAAGAGAGCATTGCAATAGTCCAGCCTGGACAGAACAAGAGCTTGAACAAGGAGTTGTGTTGCATGTTCTGAAAGAAAGGGCCTGATCTTCCTAATGTTGTATAAAGCAAATCTTATATCATATCAGGCTCAATATTACATTTGAACCGGTGAGCAAAATAAAACGAAATCAAGTTCACACTGCCACCTAGCGACTAGTTCAAAGGAGCGCATTGTGATTGTTTGAAAATAAAAATATATAATTTTTGACGTTTCTAAGCAGTGTAGTTCTGTGCGTATGTAAACATAAGTATTAAACACATGCACTTATTAAAAAAAAACACAATTTTATTTGTTTTGCATTTTTCCAAATCAGTCCTGATTGAAGGCCAAGTAACCCACTTAACCAACTGGATCTTCAAGAGCTTAAAGTGTCAATAAACATTGTAAATGCATATCTTCCAACCTGCCAATTAAGTGTTCTAGTACAGTAACAAAATAAAGTAATAATTATAGTAATGCATCGCTATTTTATTTGCATAACATTGTTATATCAGAATGGGATGTTCGGTAACGCTTTAGATTACACCCCGCAATGTACTGCGTAAGTAAACAGAATTTACAGCGTAACTATTTTGTAATTACAGTGTACCTATTCAGTACCTCCGTGTAGGTATAAGGTAACAATATGCGAAGTTTGGAGAATAAAGGAGTAATAATCTGTAAAATTACAAATTATTTCTACTGTAAGTATTTTGAAACTAAGGGGTACCTATTCTAATATTACGGGGTATGTATGACCTAACAATCTTATTTGCAAGCGATTAAGCAAAAACATACACTGTGTACTTTTTTATAGCCTACACATATAAAACACGCTGGTAATTGTTTCAATCCAAACGCTCGGTTGAGACTGTTGGGTTAGGAAGCTGGCTTGATGTGACCCAGTTTGGGTTGATATCAGTTAGCCCACTAATTCCATTAGAGAATAGCTCTATCTATACAGTGGATCCCCCCCACCCTGTCCGTTCCATTTGGGAGAGACCCAGAGGTGAACTGTCCTTCTTTATAAGTACACTATAATTACAGAAACGTACACCGTAAATTCAGTATAGTTACATAGTTCTTTGCGGGTTGTAATCTAAAGCGTTACCGGATGTTCTAGTTGAAGGACGCTTAATATGTAGGAACCTTAAGTTGTGTTATATTAACGAATAAATAGGCACTTTGCTTTAATGTTGTTTAATTATATAACATGGCAGTGAATATAAGTCATTCTAGAATATTATATGCAACACACACACACACACACACTCACTCTCTCACACACACTCTCTCTCACACACACACACACACACACTCTCTCACACACACACACACACACAC